AACTCCCATTCTCTCCCTGTTATTGATTTCAGGGTGGGCTTTAACATCGCCTACATTTGTGATTTTCTCTACCTCGGCCCTGATCATCCATGCTACTAGTAGTAGGGAAAACCGGGGTTCTGGGACATTTTTGTCAAATCATGTGCATCTCATGTTAATTTGACGTATTTTGATATTTTCACATCTTCAGCATTTTTTTCATTTATTGTGCATTTACGTTATTTTTATAGTAAATGCACCATTTTCACGACCGGTTCACGAGTTTTGTCCCAGATTTTATCGTCCTATCGCATGTGTGTGTATTTTGTCGGACAAAATGATTCGCTTGTCATCATCACCGGATAATGCAACTTTGTTGATCTCTTCCATGTACATCTCATGTCCACGACTTCGAAGGGTGTTCATTTTTCGTAACTGTTTTTCACCATTAAACAAACATTTTTTGTAGTTGTCAAGACTGATGGTTTGATCTACCACTCCTTGTTTTACCCCCTTACACTTCTTTGTTTCTTTTTTGCTGTCAAACATCTTGTAACTGTATAGTTTAGCCCTCAAACCGACAAACTCATCGATGATCTTTCCACCAGCTTCATCTTTGAACATTCCAATCACTTTCTTATTTACACCGACCGGTATTCCTGAAGAGTGACCTTTTCAAATGTTGCTCGTGTCAAATAGACGGTATACATCACCGATCACATCTTTGTAAAAATCTTCGGTTGTTATCTCATAACAAAGACTGTCAGTGTCTGTGAAAAGAAGCTTTGATTTACTCTCTGGGTATTTAGGTTTGATATAATTGTAGTGAAAATCATACATCAATGTCTTACTGATGTCGAGAATGCTCATCCCCAAATACAATGGTTTATTGAAGTAAATCTGTGTTTTTTTCATGTGTATTGCACATAAATCTTCAGAGAAGATGGTACAATATTTGAAGTTTACTTTGTTTGTTAATTTTTTTGCCTTTTCAGCTGTTGTGACAAGTCTGACATCGACACGATTTCGAATATTTTCCATGGTTTTTCCAAAGACTGAGTTGTTCATTAGCTTGTAAAAGTCTTTTTCAAAGTCGTTGTCTGCTTTGGCTCTCAAATTTGTGTTCAAATCAATATACTCTTTCATCCAAGCACTCTCTTCAAACCTGATGATTCTGTGAATCTTTCCAATTTCAACTCCCAGTGATTTATACATCTTCAACGTCTCATGATGAACGATGTAGTTCTTTTTTTCATTTAACGTGCAAACTAATTTTTTTACTTTACCGATCAACAGATTTTCAGGAGCTGGTGGATAGTCATTAAAATGATCTTGAAGCTCGTCTTTTATTCTCTCAAGGTCAACTTCAAGAATGCAAGGAAAGGTCTCCCATTTGTCAAAATCTTTTTCGTTTACCCATTTGAAACCACCTGTTGGTAATTTTTTACTCATCGCCCAACCATACAAATTATTTGCATCTAGATACGTGATAAACTTTGAAGGTTGTTTACAATCAAAGTCTTTTTCCATGTATTTGTTGTTTGCTTTTGAATACCTTGTTGGAATCATACTGACACCACCACGAATACCTGCTTCAAACATGTGTAACATGTTTATATCACTCAACAACTCAAGTTTTATTTCAGTCAACTTGAGACAAGCATCCCAAGCCAAACCAGGTGCGGTGTAATACCAACAAGGTTCAAGATCGTAGTTCTCTTTGCAAATTTCTCGAAAGTTTTCAAAAACATCGGCTAGTAAAAGAACATCACTTTGATTGTATAAATTATGATAATCTCGAAATGTCTTACACCCAAAACCTCTCCACACATTTTTAGCATGAGTATAATCTTCATCTGAGATACCTTTACCACTCAACACACTAAAAAAAGCTTCTTTTGGTGGAAGACATAACTTATCGAGCTTGTCTATCGAATTAACCCATTCATAAGGATAAACACCCTTTCGCATCAATAATTTAAGCTTTTCTCCAGAATAATATTTTCCTGTATTTTTTAAGGAAGACTCACCCTTTTTGACAAGGTTTCCAACAAGCTTGTCAAGACTGGAAGCCATGAATTTGAAGCTGTCAATGAATCTCAACTCTCTCTTTACCTCAACGTCTTTTTCTTCCTTTTTATTAAAAAACTTGTCAACCACAACGTGTTTCGTAAAGCTGATGTATTCGGTACACCTATTGAAGCTAGAAGAGTTCCGAGAAAACCTCCACTCTGACTTTTTGTCGGCTTCATTATCAAGTTACCACCAGAGTGAAGAGCATTTGAAAGGTCTTGTTTCTGCTTTTTTGATAAAGCGTCCACATACGGCAAAAGTTTCATAATATTTGAATTTGGAATCAACATACCGTATTGTTGTAAATACAAAGCTGGTATGTATATATTCACATACATTGACGGTGTCAAGTCTCAACATCTACATAATCTCAAGTTTACCTTGAGCAATTCGTTTGTCACCACAGCAAGCGGCATATTGATGCCGTTGCCCAACACACGAAACGCTTGGGTTAATACCGCTAATAGCGTTTTGCTGTATTTCCAAGCTAACACATCGCTGAGCATAGCGACTGATAACAGTGCTACTATACTCGATGGAACTGGCAACAGTTATCTGTTGATTGCGAAGCAAGATTAATGCGGCTTTGCCGCATTAATTAATCCTGCGAAGCAGGATTAATCGCGAAGCGATCGCCTTGTCCTGTGAAAAAAAAGCTAATTTTATTATGAGTCACTCATAATAAAATGTCTGACGCAGAATCGAAGATTTTCAACTTTAATCACATCGACTACTCTATCGGTGAAGAGAAGATCGATGAACTCAAGGCTTTATACAAACACTATCACAAGAAGTGGTGGTGCTCTCGCAAGATCTACACCATCTTCAAACGAAAGAGCCTTCTCTGTAAACTGGGGAGTACCACGCTCATCATTGTTGGTGGGATAGCCGGTGGGGTAACCCTAAATCCGATACCCCTCGCTACGATATCTGGCACCGGACTCCTTCTCAAAACGTTTACAGAAGTGAAAAAGTTTGACCAAAAGATCAATATGAGCAAATTTGCTTTCACTACCTATGAGAAGATATTGACCGATCTGAGAAGCTATCTGAGAGGAAGGACCTTCAACAGCGATTCGTTCCTCGATGAGGTGAAGCAAATCGATGACACCATCACAGATCTTTGCCCGATATTTCAGTCGAACAAAATCCTCAAGCAGTATGAAAAACGCTTCGGTAACCTCTAAGGTAGACCTCTTCCCCGAAGCTTCACTTCGGTGCTTTCCTTTTTTGTTTCGAAAAAGGAAAAAAGGTTGGAGATCGTCTGTTTCACAAATCTCTGCGAAAATTAACATCGACCCAAGCGGGGAGTGGTTTTAAAAATCCGCCGGATAACTGTCTCTGCGAAAAATAACATCGACCCAACCGGGGAGTGGTTTTAAAAAACCGCCGCATAACTGTCTCTGAGTCAATTGCATTGATAAATAATCACGACCATCAGATAGAAACATAGTGAAGAGGGCTTTCTTTTGTTTCTTTGTGAGAAGATCCATTGCTTCTTTGCGAGCTATGAACTTAGGAATGTCTCGGTCATATATGCGAAGGTACATGTCTGAGACCGGCTCTTCCTCAACCTCTTCTTCAACCTCTTCTTCAACCTCTTCTTCAACTTCTTGAAATATAATCTTATCTTCTTCAAGAATAACTTTGTAACTTGTGAGTTTTGACATGGTTGTAATACTTGTAATGAGCTTGCTTTTAGTTATCTTTGTAACTACTAAAGATAAAAAAAATCAAAAAAAAGAGTGGTTCCATACCGACCAAAAAAAATCAGCACACTTAAAGACAAATGTCGCGCCGTCAAAATTATACCATATGCGCAATAATTTGACGTGAATGTGCAGGGCCGAGCCGCCGGAAAGTACCAAATTATTGTATATTCGCAATAATTTGACGTAAATGTCTTGGGTTAGGCCATAAAAAGTACTAAATTTCGCTAATTTAACTTAGATTTACACTAATGTAACAAAAGTGAGCCGCACGAGGCCACACGAGGATCACGAGGATCACGAGGTGCCACTTAATAAACAATAAAATATCACGTGCAAGACAATAGGAAATTCCAGATGTCCCTAGTAACTGAAGAGGTTGAAACCGACTTGAAATTTTTTTTTCGACTCCTACGGTTGTTAGGGACGTCTATTGTCTTGCACGTGATATTTTATTGTTTATTAAGTGGCACCTCGTGAAACACGTTACACGCGAGACAGACCTTCACGTCTTATGATTACATCATCTAACCGGTATGATTGAAATTTGCATAAAACCACAAAAACCGGTCACACAACACACTTAAAGACAAATGTCGCGCCGTCAAAAATATACTATATGCGATCGGGTGAAATGATTGATAAAATCTGGGACAAAACTCGTGAACCGGTCGTGAAAATGGTGCATTTACTATAAAAATAACGTAAATGCACAATAAATGAAAAAAATGCTGAAGATGTGAAAATATCAAAATACGTCAAATTAACATGAGATGCACATGATTTGACAAAAATGTCCTAGAACCCCGGTTTTCCCTACTACTGCTACTTTTATAACTTTAGTGTATAAGCCTCGTATTTGTCTTTGCCAAGTTACTGCTGCACGTGAAAATCAAGCACGCGAGCCGCGAAGCCGCGAGCCGCGATAAACGAT